AGAGAGAGAGAGAGAGAGAGAGAGAGAGAGAGAGAGAGAGAGAGAGAGAGAGAGAGAGAGAGATTCCAACTAGGAGCACATTTGTAAACAAAGCTGAAAGCCATTCAAATTCAAAAAATGAAAAATGACCAGAAGATTAAGCAAAGATCAAGAAGAAAAGAAAAGGAAGTGCAGGATGAGTCTTTACGTCATAGTTGCACCTTGCCCATGCCTATGAGGTTGAGCAGCCAGAGTCTCACACACATTAGAACTTGGAATCAATCATTTGTCTCGCAGACTTATTGCTCGGCATACCTGACACTTATGTCAGTTATCTGCGTAATTCTTTTTTCCTTTTTTGGTTTCGAACTTTCTGTTTTATACTCATTGCCCATTTGTTCCTTTCCCGTTTGCAAAATAGACAAACCACCATAGCTTACGCAAAAGCAACTTCCCTTCATAAAGCCAAATCAGCAATTACCTCTTCGACAAACAAGCATCCAAGATCTGGGAGATGAAGTTCTGGAGTCCATGACACTGATAAAGATGATACTGCTGAAATTGCACTGCAGTGCAACAGGGCAAGCAGTCAGGAAAGGATGCGTACAATGATTGCACAAAGAAAATTGGCAAAGATGGAATCGGAAGAGTGCAGACTGTCTAACGACTTGCCCATTCTCAAGTTACGAAATACATGTCCATCTTGCAGACAACCACACAAAGCAAAGGAAGAACCGCCAGCGGATCTTCCCTAACCACACAGCGAAGTACAACACCCCTCCGTGTACACCACATAACCAAAAGAAGGGTGGATTCCTTGCACTGTGAACTTACAATGCTTCTTGAGAAGTGTGACAACTTTCCCCATTGTGTGTGGTCCGAGGTTCCAAACAAGTCCCTTAAAAAGCAAAATGCCGCATATGGTTCCAGCCAGCCCTGTCATCAGTCAACACATAAACACCACAGCACATGTATGCCACCATCAGGTATGACACATTTGAATTAAACCACGAGTACACCCGGGCCTGGAGGCGAGCCTTACTGCACGCCAAGCTTTTCTGAACTGCCAGCGGCGCACTTTATTTCCTCTTTTGGCTGGCGCCGCCAGCCATTGTGGTCCAGTAGGCCTCGCCTCCAAAAATTTTGTTGGCGACGAGTTGCATTTTCAGCAAGGCTGGGGCCGTGTACTGGAGATTTAAAGTCCTTTCACAAGAGAATGGACATTTATCGATGAACGTCATAGTCCTAAAGCCTCTGATGGACAAAACAGGAAAAACAAAATCCAGAAGCATCTCTCTTCATCTCCTTTCCCCATACACCCCGGCTGGATGCAATTTGCCACTAACCGTCTAGTAGTGCAACCTAACTCGCAACAGGGCAGGAGAATTGTTAAACCACCAGTACTTGGCACATACATCGGCCACGGGGCGTTGTCGTTAACGCCCCGCAACTTCCGGAGGCTCGGGGCGCCAGCCTTTGAAGGCTGGCGCCCGCAGCCAAAACAATATTTTCTTGTTGCGCTGGTGGGTCGGAGCGAAACGGCGCGCAGCTCGTTTTCAGGCTCGGCATCGATAGCTGCGCCAAGTACTGGTGGTTTAAACAACCGCTTCATCCAGAACTATTTTGACAAAACAAAAGCTGCATTTCCGCGAGCCTAAAATCTGGAGTGCCGCCGTAAGGAAAAATCATTGTGGTACCTTTCCCCACCGAGTCTCCACCGGGCCTGAGCACTGTAGATTTTGGCCCGGTACTTGTAGACAAGCAAACTGAACCACGCAGGGGCTCAGTTGCCAGTATTGGGAGTTTCCTTAGCGAACCAGTAGCCTTCTCATCTTCACACACATGCACACACACACACACACACACACACACACACACACACACACACACACACACAGATGACCATGCAGTTTGAAACAATGGAAAGGTCAATTCCCTACCTTGTTCTCGTTGAAAAAGACTCTGAAGTGCTCTGAACTCAGGAATGCCTTCTGTTCTCGAAGGAAAATTTTCTTCGCAATTGCGAGCTTAACCGCCATGACTGCCTCATAGTCCACGTCTCTCTGCACAAGGAGTTCACCATTCCACAAATGAGAGCCTGGAGCACTGAACTAGCAGTAACTTTTTTCATAGCGACATCTACTACTGCATCTCGCTCACACTCCATAGCACTAACGCCTAACACATACATCATCTCCTTTTCTCATATAACCATATGCTGTCTCCCTTTCAACCCAGCCGTTTCTTTCTGTACCTCCATTCCCCCCCTCCTAACTCTGTACTTTCAATACTCTCCGTCCTTTTTTATGTGCTACTTTCCTCCCCCCACCCCCTGCCCACTACTCATTCTCTTCCTCCCCGTGGCTAGGCAGCTCTTTGTCTCTCTCTCTCTCTCTCTCTCTCTCTCTCTCTCTCTCTCTCTCTCTCTCTCTCTCTCTCTCTCTCTCTC